ACCATGTGAGGTTCTGTGCTCTTCGGTTATTGATCCCGGACACTTTTTCTTACTACAACCCAGTTTATTGATCGTTGGGAGTACGGTAGTGCCCACTGATGTGGTGCACTACACGCGCCACATTTCACTACGAGAAATCGATGTGTTTTGTACTCTCCAGCTCTCCCATAGTCTCTACTCCCTGCCGCTGCAAGCGCTAGCAAAACGCTGGTGCCGCTGGAGAAACGCTGGAGAAACGCTGGTGAAGCTAGATCGATATGCTATCCTTTCCCCGGCACTGCCGCTGGCGTACGCTGGAAGCGCTACGCTACGCTGCGCTACGCTACGCTACGCTGCCGCAAAGTATAAACGCAGCCTTACCGCCCCAATAACTGGTCGAGGACGGATCACGCTATGCCTAGCATCCAACACACTAGCGGGATTATTCAGTTGTTCAGCCTTCTAACGAATATGCCAACCCAATTCGATCGGTGTTTAACATTCGTGTAAGCACAGGGGCATTAGATTGCACCTGCACTTTCAAATCTGGCCAGATTCCAAAATAGACACTTTGGAGTGCGTCCGCAACGCGCGTCATCGTTTTGAGAGCGCGCGAGCGTTTCCAGCAGCTAGCCGCGAAATGCTCGAAACGCTATACCAATACTATGCATTCTTTATCACTCAAAACGGTCAAAACATAAGTATGCTCGAAATGCTGACGTAAAGTAGGAACATACCCTCATCGATCCGAACGAGCGTTGTATCGTTTTGGAGGTCGAATGTGTTGAAGAGTTGGTGACATTCATCTACACATTGTCTCTGCTGCGATGTCTCGTATTGCTTTTGCTGATCAACTTCATCTTGTGTGAAGCACAACCGGAATGGGCGAGTGGGGGCGGGGGATGGGGGGGGGGGGGGGGGGATTTGGCTGGTGCAGAAAAAGGGATCGCATTGACAGGGTAGGGTGTTTTCTTTGATTTTTGATTTTTCTCGCAACAGTAGTTTTCGTTGTAAATGCTGGGCGTGGCGGGAGCGTGGGTTTGGCACGGCACGAGTCCGTTCCTCTCCAATCGTTGGAGCTTACACGTGATAACAATTGGTGGTAAACGGGATGGCACCCCACCAAATGCAGCGCCATCATTGCTCTAGCGTCTGCAGCGAAAAAGACTTACTATCCTTCCGTCTCCCACTTTTTCAACTTGGCGGCTCCCCAAAGCTATTAGGTTGTCCGGAAAGTTCTCAGCGTTTTGGGTGTTTCACTTTAAACGATCGTAACTTTTTTAATACTCATCGGATTTAATCGAAATAGGCACCATTCGAATCAGCACACTTTTGCCAATGTGACAGCAGTCGAGAAATCCCATCAAAGTAAAAAACTGGGTGGTCGAAATTCACGAAATCCACGAAGGCTTTTTTGCCTGGTCCTGATTGATGAAGTATTTTCCAGCAAGGGAGTTCTGAAAATGTTTGAAAAGGTGATAGTCGGTTGGCGAAAGGTCTGAAGAATATGGCGGTTGAGGTAGAACTTCAACCCCCAATTCGTTCAATTTATGGATAGTGATTTGTGAAACGTGTGGGCGGGCGTTGTCATGCAAAGGAATCGGACCCTTTCTTTTGATAAGTGTTGGCTGCATCTGACAAAATTTTCGGTACTTCGTCGATTTCTTCACAGTAGGGTTCTGCTGTGATGGTTTGGCCTGGTGATAAAAAGTTATAGTGGATCACACCAGCCGATGACCACCAAGCCGTGACCAGAATCTTTTTTTCGTGAGGGTTCGGCTTTGAAAATTACCTCGGTGGTTCGTCGAAATCCAACCACTGTCCGGAACGTCTCCTGTTATCATACATGACCCATTTTTCATCACAGGTGACAATTCGGCCCAAAAACAGGTCGTTTCTGCTGCGCAAAAGCAATGCAGAAGGAACCTCGAGACGTGCCGATTCCTGCCGGTCACTCCGATTGTGGGGCACCCAATTGTCGAGTTTTTTCACCTTCCCAATGCGTTCCAGACCATCTGCAACAGTGGATTTGCCAAGGCCTAGCTCTTCTGCTATCTCTCGAACTGTTTGGGATGGGTCAGCCTCCAAAATCCCCCTAAAATCCTCGTCAGATATTGCTTTAGGTCGACCGCTATGAGGTTCATCTTCAAGGCTGAAATCTCCAGAACGAAATTTGTTGAGCCATTGCCGCACAGTGCTTTCTCTAGCACTATTGGGCCCCCACACCTGGTTAATTTGTTGAGCTGTTTCGATTGCGGATTGCCCCAATTTATAGTCGAAGAAAAAAATCGTCCGAAGTGCTCTTTTCACATGCTTGAAAAAATCTTGAAAAAAGGGTTTATCAAGCAATGGTGAAACGGCAATTATACCATCAGATAGCGCAAGAAATTCTCTACAGGATGTGCTACTGAGAAGCAAGGCAGAATGAGTTTTTAATCAGCAGTGAATGTACAAAAAATAGGTGCACAAAACGCTGAGAACTTTCCGGACAACCTAATATTTACTATTGCTGATAGTTTATCAGATGTGTTTACCCGACCATTGGTTCGACAGTGAAATTCTGGGGAAGTTTGGCAAGATGGTAAGCAGGATGTTAGGGGTCGTACAAGAGGGTGAAATTTCGGAGAACTCTGTTCATGCCCTTGTGCACTTTCGTGTAGGAAAGCGTTCGTAGACTCCTCTTTTCTTGTACTATACCGATTTCTTGACGATCAATATCATATTTTCGAAGGATTTTCCTAGAGGAGTCAACATGAATAATCGGCCCATGTGCCGTGTCATATTTCAAAGCAAAAAAACCGATAAGAAAACTGTGCAAACACTGTTGTGTACTGGTAATGTGTAGAAACAAAATCGCTCTTCAAGTTGTGTGACACCCCTACGAACCGGCTTATTTTGACGTAACAAATGAAACCTACACTGTAAGGCAGCGTTCATAGTTCGCGACAGCAGCGGCGATCGCCGCGATCGCCGCTGTTACTGTAGCCAGGGCACATCACTGATATGTGGACAAAGCGGTATCAGTGAAACTCCGTGGTGCTTTTCGGCTTGGGAGAAGCATTTTGCACATTCCCACCTAGTTCCTTTTAGTCCTAACTCACAAAAACCCTATCAATCCTAGTAAAGCTGCAAAATAGGGTTATGGGGTCACCGGCCACAGACAGTGAGCTGTCTTCACAATGTGACCTGTACATCTTCGCTGGGTACCATTGGGTGCCCCCTTCTCTCACCCACTCCCACCGAGGCGAGCTGCGCGCGACCTGCACCTCCAGAGGGTCTCTCTACGACCATCTCTCACTATCCACTGCCCCAACCTCTGCCACATTCTCCTCCTCTAATATCCCTTCTGCTCCCAAAATTTCACTGTCTTGCTGGGGAGGTGGAGGATTGGTAAAGGGAACGGAAAAGAGAATCAAAAATCAAAGCACAATCCTTTCAAGGCCTGATGCGATTCCCTTTCCCACTGATCAAACGACCCCTTAGCCAGGTAGGATTTCTCGCGATGATAATGACCGCTCACTTTGACTTCCTTTGACCAAGCTTGGACATATCAAGAGGAACACTTCATGGTCAGCAAAACTTCCGCTTTCTCTGGAATAGAATATATGGGAGATGGGTGCAGAAGGCAACATTAAATTGGTAAAGCGTAAAGCATATTGTTTTCAGTTACTTCTACTGGCAACTTGACTACTGGAAGCGACGAGGAATCCCCAGTCCACCGGGAACTATTTTTCTAGGCAACATGTATGACCTAATGATATGAACAAGCCAGTTGCATGTGTATTACGAGAGTGGACCAAGGTGATTTCCATCCATTCTTTACTTTAGTATTTCTGCGAGTTTATCGAAAACCATCAGTTCACAGACTTATGGCAGTGTCTACGGCATCCAAGAGGGTCTCAGAAGAACGTTAGTTGTGAGCGATGTTGGGATGATTCGCGACTTGTTCATCAAGCAGTATGACTACTTTTACGGTCGGAGGGTACGTGTTCTTTACGAGCAAGTCCTGCCCTTCCGTAGTCCTAACATGCCTCACACGTTGTCAGGCGGCACGCAAATGACCGGAAAATCGCAGAATATGCTCTCTCCAAACATTAATGATTTCTCCAGCAATGATGTTTATGTTTTGCTTCGATTTTCAGAGCCATATGATTGGCGGTGATGTGGAGAACGATCCTCGAGTTCACGTTTTCGAAGCGCAAGGTGTTCGATGGAAGCGCCTCAGAACCATTTCTACTCCAGCCTTTTCGTCGTCTTCTCTGAAAAAGGTAAGTTCTGTTTTGAAATATGTAGGCCAAGTTTTCAGCTAAGGTTCCGTTCTTACTTTGCGACTGCGTCCAGGAGCGTCTAACAACGATTGAGCGAATGGCAGCGTCTACCAGCGTCCGCCAGCAACCATCGAGGGACTAGGAATTGTGGATATCGATCCACCACATTTTGCTTTTTTGATTCACCACATTTTGCACTTTCAATGCACTTCACTGGTTCCGGTTGCGGCTCAACACGGCACTGCGATGGCAGCTAGTAAATGTGCGAAATACCAGCCCTCCCCCTCTCTCACGTCGCCGAACTGCGCCTACAAATTGAAGGCAAACAGTACAAACACCTCCGAAGACGGCCCTTACCGTGGGCGAGATGGAAGCAGGTGCATTACTCTACAAATCCTGGGCATTTGATCGCAATTCAATCCCGCGCAATTCTGCGTGGGATCGGAATGGTGGTGCAATTCAGCGACGGAGAGGTGAGGGAGGGGCATAGTGCACTTTCGTTGCTTCACTAGTTCCGTTTACAAGTCTCACTCTGGTGAAACCTGTGAACTCTTGTGAAGCTGGAGCAAGCTCGTCAAGCCATCATGGTAAAACCTGTCAACTCGAGAAGAGGCCTCTAAATGGGCCGGACACGTCGAGGCAGTGGCAGAAGGGGCCCCTCACCACCCCCCCCCCCGTTGCCGAACTGTCCTTGGCGACTGTGCGCCGACTCACACAAGCATAAGTGGGCGCGTCGACTACTGCTTTCCTCCCTAAGAAACCTGGAAAGAGAATTCTGCTCTTCTATAGCCCAGACGAAAACAGAGGCTTCCATCTTGAACATTCTGGTTTCAATTTCCTCACCCATTTAAGTCGTGTAGCAGGTCACGCTGTAGAAAAATCAGGAGTCTACTCCACTGGAGGAGGCTATTATTACCGCTGCGCTTTTCAGTCAGGAACCTTAGCCCAATCAATACTTGTTTATTGTGGACTTCTGTCTCAATGATTTCAGATTCGACCAACAATCGAAAGCTCCGTTCTGGCTCTCATGGACTTTTTCGAGAAGGAAGCAAATATGAAGGCCTTTGACGTCGTTCCGTATGTGATTAAGTTTCCCAAAGCACTTTTTGTACAAAACTGCCTTGATATGGGCCATATTCAGCTTCTACAAAGAGTTCACCTTGGATGTGATCTACCGTATTGCTATGGGACAACGCGAATCGGAGATGTTCACTGATAAGGAAAAAGTCGCTGCGGTGGACTCCGTGAGTGGCTATTTTCACATACGAGTAACAGCTTAGCAAGAAATACCTTACCATCAGCGGTCAGTGTGGCACTATGTACCCTTTACTGCCCCAAATCTTCCGAAAACAGGCCATGATTTTTTTTAATGATTTTGATTTTCTATTAGATTTAATAATCTTTTTCTGTTACAATCTAAATGAGAAGATTGGTCCGGCACCAACAAGGAACTACTCATGGATCTGCATGTTGTCTCTTGTAACTGAATCTAGGGTACGTCGTATGTTGGAGAAATCCTCGATGGGGTCGTGCTTCCATGGCTGGAGGGACCGGGTTCGTATTTGGCCGCGGACTATTCCTCCGTTTACGCCCTTCTCCCTGTTATGCTGTGACTAACGCAAAGCTATTCTAGAGGAGTCGATTGAGCTGATACCTATCTCCTCCGTTTGACGGAGGAACTCGATAAGACTCAGGTAGGTCGCAATTTGCAAGTGGGGGTCGCATCGGTGAAGAGAATTCGGAGTGTCGTTTATTGGAAATTCTCTCCAACGCCACGACAATGCCTTACCACGCAGTCAGATGTTCGAGTGGACCGACTGAGGTGCTACCTTTTGGTTTATAAAATTATGACCGACCGTTCTAATAATTTTTAGAAAGAGGCGTGGCAGATTGTTAAGTTTGTGCTAGACTCCGCCAGCGCGAAACCGGTAGCAAATACGATGCGCGCGTGTACAAGACCACCTGGTAGCGAGAGTGACGTCAGCTGTGATGAGATTTCCATTGCCGTTTACCCGCGGAACATGACTTGTCAGTGGTGAGACAATTATTGGGAACGAGCTAGAAAGTTTTTAAGGACAATATGCTTGGAGAGGGTAGATTTTGCCACCAGCCGATCGTCTTTGGGTAAGATCATTGCCAACAAGAGGCGGAAGATGGTGTAGGACAGTGGGGCCGCTCGGCGCCACCATTCGCGTCGGCTCCGGGTTCGAATCGCGTGGTGACTCCCGCCCAGGCACCAACAAGGCCTTCTATCCTTCCGGGGATCGGTGAATTGTACCAGATGGTCATTGGGAGGGATAAAAACACTGACTTGTACATCGGCTGGCCACCGCAAGTCATTGTATAGGCCACATCGCATTCAAGTAACCCACTACGATTCTGAATGGAAGTAGAATGCGTGCCGCATCCCACAAAGGGATTGATCAACGGCGAAGACTTTATCCTTTTTTTTTATGCTTATACCTTAGTCCAATCTCTCGCTTGGTGACTCTCTTATAAATTACTGTCCGAGGTTGTGACTAACCATAATCCGAATGCGTCACAGACCCGTTGCTCAACAGGGCACATCATCATTGGGAATTTTCACCAAGGGGAAGGGTGCGGGGATCGCATATTCTTCGCTATGGAGAACGAGGCGCATGGTCTGAGAGATAGAGAAAATAAGATGGTTTTCTTGAGATGTTTTCTTGTTTCAAATGGAATTCTGCGGAGGGGGTGGGCGCACTCAGCTCGTTGTTTGGGGATGTAGTTCCTCTGGGCTTTATTGAGAGGAGGTTGTTTGATTTTTTCGGAGGTTTGTCCTGTTTCATATGTACAAGTACCTGTCCTTACCCCCGCTCAACAGTAAAAGTTCTGGGAAAAAAATAAGGAAATTCCCGGAAAAATTCCGAAAAGTGGTAGGGAAGATTTAAAAAGCAGATGGGAAGTGGTGGGGCGGGAGGGAAAGGATCGTATGGGCGGAGGCGAACGTGATCGTATTTTTTCTCGCTTTTCCCCGTTTCACATGTGGCTACAATACTCCCCCCTCACCGCTCGACAGCATCGATATTTCAAGGAAGGAGGGACTAGGGAGGGAGGGAGGATTGTATACCGGAGACAAGCGTCAGAACTGGGGCTGCGACTTGAACCGAAGTCCCACAATTATGTGGCACTGTTGAAAGCGCCTGACCGCTTGTTTCACAGACAATCGACGCCAAGCACCCAGAGTCACCCAAACGTTTGCGGTCGCAGTACATTTTCAGCGACTGAATCGTGGCGGTATGGCTCTCAGGATGAAATAGTCACATAAGGAATGTTTGTTTGCAAATAGCTGCAAAACAGGTCTGATAAAAATGCAAGCTTACTTTTGAAGAGTGGCATTGTAAGGATACAAGGTGTCGAAAAATGAAGTGTGTGGTCATGAAGAACAGTTTAGCAGTAGGTTACATGTTTTTCTGGGGTACTGTTGTAGTCTCCTCGCAGTAGCTTTGCACGTCCATATACAGTTGTTCATATATTGGTGCTTAATGAGCTATACGCAGTCCGCTTGGTGGGGCGGCAGGCTTGGCCCAGTTGGACGCAGAACGTCCCGTTTAAATTGTTATGAAATGATGATCGAAAGGATTTGTTGGGACGCCCCACGAAACACGATACAGATTTACCCTCTCGCACACACTCGCTTATGTCAATTGCCCACTTGACTATGTATAAATCTACCCCCTCGCTGGCTATAAGATGTTGGCTAAAAATTCAGATGTACCGGGTGCTTCCTGTAAGAAAACCATTTGCTGGAAAATGGATAGCTCATAATTTTATTTTGTCGGGAACACATCCCCGAAGAGTTCCGTTTCAGATTTTTTGTTGACTCTGTTCGTTGTGATTAGCGCTCCCCGTGCGCGTAATTGTGATTGTTCTCATGCGTCAGTCCTATCTAGTTACTTTATCAATGCCGCGTTGAATTTTACTCCCACTCGAGTGCCATAAGTGTTCGGTAGCGCGTTTGGTACACGCGTCACATTGCGTCCAGTTAGTTCTGATTCAGTAGACTCCAAGGTCTCTCACTAGGCTAGAATTACGTCGTTGTTCGCATGCTATGTTATGACTTCGCTGAGAGGTTTTCAGGATACCTAAATTCGATGTCCAATGAGTACCTGCTCGAGTACCGTAGTTCTGAAGCCATGCCACCCACACGAAATGCCCAGAACACCGGGGAGTTGACGCGGCAGGCGCTGTTCGGCTTGGGAGGGGTATTCTGCACTGCTGATCTCTTTTTTCGAATTTATATGGATCAACAGCTTTCGTTCTGGTGAAACCTGTAAACCCTTGTGAAGCTTTGGAAAGGTGCGAGTGTTCACGGGTTTCCACAGGGTGGCCTGCTCAAGGTTCGCTGAGTGCCATTTGTCCCCCAAGCCGAACAGCGCCGACGCGGCGTTTTGAGTGCTCTTGCTCCACTTTCACTATACCCATCTATAAGATGAATTCCGGGTTGTTCGCAATCGGCGGATGCGCCACAGCCGATGTAGCACCCTGCTTTCATTGCACTTTTTCCTTCTCATCCCCATTCGGAAGAAGTTGTCATATGAATTAGTGAGGGAAGATGTGGAATTGATCCTTTACCTGGAAGATACTGGTGGTATGTGGGAAGGTCCGCTTACACAGTGAAAACAAAACCGCACCGAAGGATAGCTGTGGTATACTGCTTCTCAGACTTGAACGCCATGCCGCAGCGTAACCCGCTCCTGTGAGACGGGACAGACCGCTTACGCTACGAACGACAAGAGTGAGTATCCTGTCTTCCTCGAGCTAACCCTAATACTCACGTTCTGAAGCCCACGACACGCCCAGTCGAAGCGATAGGAGTTCGACTGCGATTATGGCCCCGTAAGTTCAAACGTGTTAAAGGACCTCGAGAAAATCTTGCCAGGAGGAATCTAGCTGGTTTTGCTGACCTCAGAATAGCTACGACCTGTCTTTCAGTTCACGGCTGCCCTTCCGATAGGAAGGAATCGCTGACTTGCGCTCCCGAAGAAGGCTGGCAAACCAGATGATTACTGGGTGAGCGGCGGAACAATCCATCTTTGTTTACCTAATCGTTTCGGTTTCTGGAGTGTTTTCTTCAAGACATATTATTTTCTGCTTTTTATTTGCTTTTTGTTAGCGAGACCTCCCTGCTCCTCTTGTGCCCCGCTCAACGGCAGATTTTGGGGAGAAACTGAAGAGATTTTTGGGGAAACGGCAGATTTTGGGGAGAAACTGAAGAGATTTTTGGGAAGGAAAGGAAGAGAGCTGGCTAAATGGGTCAGATGTGAAAGTTTGTTGGGGGAAGGGGCACATGTACTTCTAGTGAATAGATCAGTGATTGAACCACAAGATGTCTTTGATTGAAGAATGAGACGAGGTCATATAAAAACAGCTGACCCCTCGTCTGGTTGCGACTAACCCGGAGATGAAGGAGGATCCCTGATTCAAGTCTGATTCAAGGAGTTACAAGAAAGTTGTAAACGAACTAAGAACGTGTACGAATATGTCCTACAAACTTTGGAGCGACCTGCTACCTTTGCTTCTCTGTTCTTCGTTTTTACACTGGATTTTGAAGTGCAGCGGTGCCTCGGCTTCAGTAAACAGCATTCATTTTAGACGTAAACAATAAATAAACAAAAGGATTTTTGACACATGACGTCCCGCAAGATTTTTCTCATGTGTGGTTGTATTGATCGGTCCGTGTACTATGCCAGCAAATTGAAAGCAAATAGTCGCAAGTTGAACTTTACACTTTTCTCAGGCTGAATAATGAGCTTTCCTAGTACCTTCTTTGGTGTTTTACCAATGAAAGTACTCGCACGTGTAAGATTTATTACGACGTGTTCGTACCGAACCGTATGACCGACATAAATGCACTAAAAAGTAGGCTTATATACAGGCAAATGTGGGCGGTGCTCAGGTATCGTACCGATGGCGG